GGCCCCCCCCAGCCGACACTGGCTCTTCCCCGCAGGGAGGTTCCTGAGGCACAGCCCTGTGGAAATGGGGGCAAACAAGAGGTCCCAGGAAAGCTGAGTGGCCGGGGGAAACCTCAGGACAGGCTCGGCACGGGGAGCCTTGTCACTACAGCCCCCAGATCCTTCTTCACACCATCTGATCCGTCTCAGAAACGAGAGCTGCGCTCACACACACAGCCCAAATACAGATTTCCCTTCCCTGCTCAGGAACACGCTATTTTTGCTGCATAGATTTGGAAAAAGATTTTTCTAGGCCCTGAAGTCCCCAGCTCTTAAATAGACTGAGGCAGCTATAACGGCTCTGAGTTAAAATGTCAATTACTTTAACCAGATTATTAGGAAAAACAAAGTCAGTACACGAAGTGGCACAGCTGGGCCCCAGGCACCGGGGCCGACAGTAACAAGGAGTCCTTGTTCGACGAGACCAACCCCGCCGAGATCCGTCACCAGCCGGGCGAAGCTGTCCCTGTGGAAGGGGAGAGGCCAGAGACCTGCCGACACTTCGGGAGCCAGTCCATCCTGACGCAGCTTGTTTCACCCACAGGAACATCTCTCAACGTCTGCAGCCTTTAAAGTCAGTAAGTGACCGGCTTACGAGAAGCAAAAGGCATCCGAGAGGCTCCAAGCGAGCCACAGTCAGCTGTTTACTGCCCCTCAGGAATGGCAGCTGGCCCTGTTTGGGAATTAACTGTTACATAAACAGGATGCAGACTGGGTTGGGGTTTGTGCTGTTACTGGTCAGCCCCTCCACTCCCCTGAGCAGAGAGCTGGGAAACGCCTGAGCAACGCTGAACAGCACAGAGAGTTTCTTTAACAAAGGAAAAAGAACAAGGGAAGCAAGGTTTAGTTCCACGAACAGATTAGCTTCCTGCCAAGGCTGCCAGGGAGACAGCAGGGTTTTCATTTAAGTGGCTCTTTGCCCCAAGCTTAAGCAAAGCGCGTGTGTCAGATCCCAGCTCAAAAAACAGGACCTGCCTCTTACCTGACATACTTGGAGAGCGGAGGCTTCAGGCTGTGCGTGGTCGACATCCCTGAGGAAATGTACCTGTCTCTCCTCCGCTCGATCCGGCGCACGTTCACGAAATCCCTAAGCAAAGAAAAGGGCACCGACTGCTTTAAAACGTGCAACAACAGGACTCTGAAGGAGCAGATCCCGCTCTCCGGACTGCTGGGAAAGGCTGTGGCAGAGGTATGTCACCACCCGGACAAAGCACAGCGCAGCGTTGTCAGCCGGGAGACCGACCGACCGAGACAGATTTGGAGCTCCGAGACTCCTGCCAGAAACATCTGGAGGAGACTTCAGGGGCTCCGTGCCTTTGGGAGCGCTGCCCGCTGAGCCAGCCCTGGCACTGGCAGGCCCCAGCCCGCCCGCGCCCGGGCACGGGAAATTCTCGCTCCCGGCAGACGCTTCTCTCCGTATTTTCGGAGGGTGTTTAGGGGCTCAGTACAAAACAGACAGTGGAATCAACTGACCTCGGGGAAACGACACCGCCGGCAGCCCCAGCTGCCACGTCGTACGAGACGATCGTGTTGTCTTCAACCCGCTGCAAAATCTGGGGAGGGAAAAAAGAAAAGAGGTTTCCTCAGACTGTGCCTGCAGGTCTGCACGTGCCAACAGCTGGGTGATATGGACCCTCCTCTGAACCAGCACTGGGATTCAAAGCAACCCCAGCGTCTTTAGCAGCTGCCCTGCGGCCGAGGAGGATGAGCTCTCCGGCAGCGCGTGCACAGGTCGGGCTTCTGCCCCTTTGCCTTTCCGACCCCCCCCACACCAACGGCGCAGAACGCCCAAACCCTACTGAGCAAAAGCAGGCTTGGCTCAGCCGCTGGCCCATCTCCCTGCCCACCTCATGGGCGTTTGGATGGGCACACGCATGCAGCTGGCTACCGCGGAGCATTCGGATCGTACGGCTGAGCGGCGGAGATTTAACGCCTCAGTGACTCGGATCCAGCTAAGCTCCAGTAGGGCCTGGGCACCGCCGACAGCCGGTGTTGGACTGGGAAGCTCCATCTCTCCGCTCTAAGGAGCTCCTGTGATTAAGCCATCTTTGTCCGGCACGCTCACCTGGCAAGCTGCCACTGTTCTGTTCCACAGGATCATCTTCTCAGGCTGGAGAATAACCTCCTGGTAAACTGTTTCAGCAGAGCACTGCAGGAAAGCCTGAGGACAGAGCCAGAGCAGTTAGCCAGTCCCCAGCTACACCTTGGTAAGATTATTTTTAAGGAACGTAGGGCAGATCACAAAGAACAACTGGGATAACAGGGGAGGGGAGCGGCGAGGCTGGCCTGGCTCAAGCGCAGGCAGAGCCAAGCCTGTCACCCCTCTGCCACGGTGCTCTCGTGCCCAGGGGCCTGGAGGGCACACGTTGGGGCAGACCTCAGGTTTCAGCAGCCGCCCAACTGCCGCCTGCCAAGGTCCGTGCCGGCGTCAGAGAGGGCAAACGTCCGTCTGTCCGTAACACGGCGACGCAGACGGACCTGGGGGCTGACTCAGGCTGGCTCCTCTCCCACCATCACCCCGCTTTTATCAGCAGTTCTGCTGCGGGCACGATTGCTTCGGGAAGTTGCTGAAAAGCTCTTCTGAGCTCCAGCACAGACAATATTCATTTCTCCGCGTCCCCGTGGGACAGGGGATCTTTGGAGGCGAACGGTTAATGCAGTAAAGTGGGACCATCCAGCTTTTCCTCCAGAATACAGAGCTGCTCCATTGGCAGAAAGGCAACATATGCACTGGAACAAAGAAAAGCCACCGCAGCACCAACGCTTCATTAAAGCGTGGTTTACAGCCAAGCCACTCCGGCGAGAGGGCACGGAGCAAGGCGCTTCCGAGCGGCTCTTCTCGATGCCAGGCGGCAGCCGACGCACGCTCAGCCCTGGTCTTGCTGGCAATTAGTTGCAATTAGCCTCCTTGGTCAGATTAGTCCCAGACGCTGGGGTTGGAAGCGAGTCTTGCAGTCACCTGCTCCCACTTCTACCAGCAGAGACTGGGGCCCAGAATATTTGCTGGGGAGTTTGTCTGCCAGCCAAGGGGCTTTCCTGGAGAGATTCCCTAGAGCGAGACGCACGCTCAGCCCTGGTCTTGCTGGCAATTAGTTGCAATTAGCCTCCTTGGTCAGATTAGTCCTAGACGCTGGGGTTGGAAGCGAGTCTTGCAGTCACCTGCTCCCACTTCTACCAGCAGAGACTGGGGCCCAGAATATTTGCTGGGGAGTTTGTCTGCCAGCCAAGGGGCTTTCCTGGAGAGATTCCCTAGAGCGTGCAGTGCAGTTCATCTGTCTCAAGCAAAGGGAGTGAGCTTTGCAGCCTGACCTGTCCTACCAGGTCCAGGAGACAGTGTGAAAGCTGAGCCGTGGCTCCGAGCAGAGCAGTGGCTCCTTGCCTGTGCCACACAGACTAAGGAAGTGATCCAAGAAGGTTCTTACCTTTAAAATAAAGGTCTTGCCATGGAAAGGTATTTCGAAAGTGTAAACAACGTCACCAAAGTCCTGTGCAAGAAATAAGAAATCTTGTTACATTTACGCTCGCAAAATAAATCGCTTCTCTACGCGCCCAAGTCTGCTCGTCCGCAAAGGCTGCGGCTGG